ACTACTGCTGCTGCTGCTGCTGCTGCTGCCACGACTGCTGCCGTTACTGCTACCGTTACTGCTACTGCTGCTGCTGCTGCTACTACTACTACTACTACTGCTACTGCACTACCACTGCTTCCACTACTACTACCACCGCCACCCCTGTCACTACTACCACTACTGTCATGATTCTGGGATAGTATCACTACTATTACGACCACCGCTGCTATCACTACTATCACTACTGTCTCTAGTACCGCCGGTACCACCAGTATCACTACACCACTACCACCACGACTACCGCTACAAGTACCACTACCGCTACCGCTACCACGACCACACACTACCACAACCACTTACAATTACTACCGCAACATTGCTTATATCACGCCCACAAAACACTCCTCGTCGTCCTCGTCCTCCCCCTTTCCCCTGCTCCTCCTCCTCCTCTTCCTCCTCCACCTCCTCCGCTTCCACTTATCAATGACTGCGAAGGACTGTTTGAATGCGTCACCTGCCACCTAGCAATTCGACTACATTCGGAAGTCTTGGGTTGCGATGACAAGGGTTGTGGTGGTGAGATGGTGATGACCATCTATTTCTTGCTGTTGTTGTTTGATGGCGATGATGATAATGATGATGTTCAGGTCGATGCCGTTGATGCTTATCTTGAAGATGAAAGTGGGGACCAGGTCGGGTATGATGATGCTGATGATGTTGGTGATTTTGACGGGTGTGATAAACCATTAATTGCCACATTTGCTGCTCTTGCGGTCATGAGTCGGAGGCAGTGTTTTTACCTTCGAGATAGCTGTCTCTACCGTAGAGACGAGCTATGTCAAAGGCAAGGTGTGGAAGCACCGGCAACATCCTACAACTAAGCCCTCACCTCGGTACGCTTTGAATATGGAAACAAACGCCGAATGGGTTCACCTTCGCAGCAGGTCCTTCCAAAATGCTGCGGCCCCAGAGGGCTCCGAAGCAAGAGCCGACCGAGTCTGGTGGTTAACAAACAGAGCGGATGTGTATACAGGTCTGCTTGGCGTGGCCTGTCGAGTGTTGTTTATGCGTAGTCTATGTTCTTTCTCGCTAAAGATCTTAGTTCTCGTCCCTCAGAAACGAAGTTCCACCACTGCATCTTTCGAGTACTACTACTACTACTACTA